CTGAAGCCCGTGTGCCTAGAGCCCGTGCTCTGCAACAAGAGAAGCCATCACCATAAGAAGCGCGTGCACCGCAACGAAGAGTAGTCCCCGCTCGCCGCAACTAGAGAAAGCCCACACGCAGCAACAAAGACCCAACACAGCCAAAAAAAGAAAAAAATCTACAAACGATAAATGCTGGAGATGGTGTGGAGAAAAGGGAACCCTGTTAACACTGGGATGTAAATTGATATAGCCACTATGGAAAACAGTATGGAGTTTCCTTAAAAAATTAAAGATAGAACTACCATATGGCACAGCATTCCCACTACTGGGCATATACCCAGGGAAAACCATAATTCAAAAAGACACATGCACCTCAGTGTTCATAACAGCACTGTTTACAATAGCCAGGACATGGAAGCAACCTAAATGTCCATCAACAGAGTAATAAAGAATATGTGGTATATTTACAATGGACTATTACTCAGCCATGAAAAGGAACGAAACTGTGTCATTTGTAGAGACGTGGATGGACCCAGAGAGTGTCATACAGAGTGAAGTAAGTCAGAAAGAGAAAAACAAATATCGTATATTAATGCATATGTGTGGAATCTAGAAAAATGGTATAGATGACTTTATTTGCAAAGCAGAAATAGAGACGCAAGTGTAGAGAACAAATGTATGGATACCAAGGGGGAAAGGGGTGGGTTGGGAGGAAATGGGAGACTGGGATTGACACATATACACTATTGATACTAGGTATAAATTAGGCAACTGAGGGGAACATATTGTATAGCACAAGGAGCTCTACTTCATGCACTGTAGTGTCCTAAAAGACAGGGAAATCCCAAAGGGAGGAGATATATGTATATGTATGGCTGATTCATTTTGCTGTGCAGTAAAAGCTAACACAACATTGTAAAGCAACTATACTCCAGTAAAAATTGATTTAAAAAAAAATGGAGAGGGCTGAGAGCTGACCACCAGATCTATAACAGACGATTGCATTTAGCAACATAACGGTCACAGGGAACTATCAATTTTGGTGGAATGGTAGGGAAAACAGCCTGTGTAAGAGAGAACAATGAATCTGTTCCCTCTACCCAAAGGTGGGGTCTGCAACGGCTCAGCCCCTTGAATTGGTAGAGTGAGCTCATGCAGTACTGGGGACGATGACAGAGGTCATCTGCCGCCAGGTCCCTCTAAGCAGACTAGCCGATGGTCTCAGTGAAGAGGGTGAAGGGAAAGAGCCATTCCCTACCCCCCCATAACCTTTTATTTTCTGTAGGGCAGAAATTGAAGACGCATGGAAACATCCCACTGCAAACTTTTACTCCATTTGGGACAATGATTGACAACTTTCTCCCTCCCCAGTCTATTTATAGACACACATTTATTGAAAGAACGAGCAAACAAGCTTAATTTCTCAAACTGAAGGACTTCTGACAAACTTTAGACATGGCGTATTTATCAAAGAAAAAGAAACTTTCAACAGAGAACCTTTAAATCCTGCATAATCCTCCTTCCTCATTACACATTGGCAGCCTGTCTTCTGGATGGAGAATATAGGCTGTGATTATCTCCACTTCTTTACCCATTTGCTCCCAGCACAGTGGGGAAGCTCATTGTTGGGCAGGGTCCACAGACTCTGGACTCATTCAGGGACACTTCCTGAGGCTCTCCACCAACACCTGCGATTTTCCTTGTTACCTGGTGACAACAACCTGAATTATAGTTGTGGGCCCCGGGGAGGAAATGAACACAGGACTGGCATTGTAAAAATCTACCTGTTAGTTGACAGCAAATATAATACAAAGCAAGAGGAATAGGCTTAAATTTCAGTAGAATAAAGATTAGAAAAAGTTGTACTTTAGAAGATTACTTAAAAAGGCAGTGGACTGTCTTTGGATAAAATATCTTTCTTTTTCCAGAGGAAATAATAAAGATACTCCTTTATTTTTTAATATAAAGCACTAAAAAAAGGGGGAAACTAGGAAAACTTACCATTTAAAATCTGGGAATAGATTTTTCAAGGAAGTTAGTTAGTGGGACCTTCCCTCATTCTCATTCCCAATTCACACTACCTTGGAAATAGGGTAGGTATGGCTGTCCAGATGTAGAAAATGGAAAAGATAACAGATGGTTCCTGTCTAGCTGTGGTTTTATAGAAAAATCTCCTAAGGAACCAACGTGAGAGAGAGAACAGTGTTCTCGTTTCCCACCTCTAGAACTTACGGTCCTTGGATCTAGGGACCTGGGTTTAAATCTCAGTTCTGCTATTTTCTGGGCTTGTGGACATAAACTCTCTGAGTCTCAAGTTTCTTGGTAGCCAAAAGGGGATAATAATCTCTGCCTCTAGGGTTATTCTGAAGATTTAATGAGGTGTTATATACAAAACAACCAACAGACTCTGCAATTAAATATTAGGTTCCCTCCTCGTCCAGAATGAAGATTTGAAGTGGGAAGAAGGTTCAGTGACCTCTTTCCTGTGGAAATGAACTCATCCTGGACTTTCCTCTTCTCTGGGTTGAAAGGACTGACCTGGCTGGGTAGTGCTGTCCAGCTGGTACCGACCCTGAGGGAAGATGGGGTGGGCTGGGGTTGGCCTGAGCTAAGAATGTCCTTTCCTGGCAACTACTGTGCTTTTGCTGCCAGAAAGAGATAGGTTGTGTTCAAGAAAGTGCTGAGGTCAAAGCTATCAGTACAGGTCCAGATGGTTCATGAGGGTGCCACGGTGTGTGGCCAAGAGGTAGTGTGGGGAGCACAGGCATGAAATAGTGTCTGTCAAGGGCATCAGCAGCTGGTCTGGGTGACAGTCTCAATCTCCCAGCAAGTCAGAGCCTCTTAAAGGCCTTCAGGCAGAACAAACAGTCTGCAGGCCTGGTTACTGGCATCCAGAGGAACTCCGAGAATGAGTCCCTGCCTAGCCAGACCTAAGACATTCTGACTCTATTCTTCCCCACTTTACCTTTTAAGGCCTGTTAAGGCCAATGCTACATGGTCATCCCAAGCTGGGTAATTCACAAGTGCTTTCTGCTGAGTTATGTTGGAGCAACTGAGAACCTCATAGAGAGTCATGAAAATAATTCACACAGAAGAAAAATAGCCCCTGATTGCTAAGTGGAGCCAACAGCTGGAACTCCCCTTCAGATTTTCAGCAGGAGCTTTGAGCAATGTGAGATCTGTGCTATGACCCATGAAGCAGAGCTACAAGAGAGAACATCTCTGCAAACAGAAGCCGTAGCGTGGATCCTCAGAAGGACAATCCGGTATGGGGTGAAGAGGCAGCCTAGCATAGCAGTAAAGGGCATGGGCTTGTGGATGAGGCTGACCCAGGATCGTTCTACCACAAACTGGAGTGACTTACTTGACCTCTTTCAGTTTTCTCATCTTTAAAAGTCAATGAACGTGCACAAAAAATTCTCTGGAAGGATACACGTTTTAGGAGAAGACTGCACAGATGAAGACCAAGATGGGAGAGACAGCTTTTACTTCATACCTTTATACATTTTCATTTTTGAATCATGTGGATATGCATCCTATTAAAAAGAATAAATGACAAAAATAAAAGACAAGTGATGATAGTTTATACCTTGCAGGATAACACAAGCCTGATAGATAGTACTCAGCTAATTTGCAGTGTTTATTATTATTAATATTAATACAGGGATGCTGGCTGGGTCATCTGCCAGTGTTGTTTACCTTTAAATACCCAGCAGTCCCTTATCATGTATCCAGATTGATGCCCTACATGCACCGGCCTTACATTATGTTTATAATCAATGGTATAAATTTAGCCCCTTAAAAGTAGTAATGTACCGACTTCCCTGGCGGTCCAGTGGTTAAGACTCCACACTCCCAATGCAGGGGACCCGGGTTTGATCCCTGGTCAGGGAACTAGATCCACATGTGGCAACTAAAGGTCCAGCAACTAAAAGATCCTGCAACTAAAAGATCCGGCACGTGGCAGTGAAGAATGAATGAATGAATGAATAAATAAATATTTTTAAAAAAGCAGTCTTGTAAATGGGTAAAATGAGTAAATGAGTGCCACTTGCAAATTGACTGTAATTTTTTTTTTTTTTTTACTTTTCACACATTTTAGAGAATTACATTAAATTATTGACAATGGCACATGGCACTGTATAATGAACACCTATATACCCTTTATCTTTAGTCACCAGCTGTTAACACTTTGGTCATACTTATGTTTTCTTTCATATACACACACATACACATGCATACATATATTTTTTTTTTCTGGACTATTTGAAAGTTAGTTGCAGATGTGACACTTTTATCTCTAAATACTTCAGCATGTGTCTTCTGAGAACAGGACATTCCCCTACATAACCACAGTACAATGATCAAACCCAGGAAATTTAACCATTACATAAGAGTATTATCTAATGTACAATCCATATGCAAATGTTCCCAAGTGTCCCTCCCAGTAAATGTTCTTTATAGCTGTTTGCTTTTTGATCCAGAATTCTGTTGAGGATCTTCCACTGCATTTGGTCGTCTCCTTTAGTCTAGAACATTTAAGTAGGGCTTGTTTTGCCTTTCATGACACAGTTTTGAAGAGCCTAAGTCAGTTTCTACCCTACCCTCCCTGCCCCAATGTGCTTCAGTTTGTATCTGTTTTTTTTTTTGTTTTTTTTTTTGCGGTACGCGGGCCTCTCACTGTTGTGATCTCTCCCGTTGCAGAGCACAGGCTCCGGACGCACAGGCTCAGCGGCCATGGTTCACGGGCCCAGCCGCTCCGCAGCATGTGGGATCTTCCCGGACCAGGGCACGAACCCGTGTCCCCTGCAACAGCAAGCGGACTTTCAACCACTGCGCCACCAGGGAAGCCCTGTATCTGTTTTTTGATAATTAGACTCAGGTTAATTTTTTTTGGCAGGAATACTACAACAGGTGATGTTCCAATGCCACCTTTTATAAATGTTTTTTATCCTTTTAAATGTGTGAAGCCAGGAGTCATTTAAAAATTTCTAATATTCTTATTTTCAAATATCCAGCAGGTCAATTATTGATAAGTGACTCTTGTCATCAAGTCATGATGGAGGCTGTGGGCTATTTGTACAGATCACTTGATTCAAGGGACACCTACCTGGGATCTTCTCATTCATCGATCAGTGGGATCCTGCAGTGAGTTTCTATTCTATGTCTCAACAAGAAATAGGCTTCAGGTTATTCATGTTCTATAAATGACCTCTTGACAACTTTTGATCCTTTGCAGCCTCCTGAGGGACACTGAGTGGATCCGGGGTAGGAGATGTTGGCCTCAAGGCATGAGCCAGCAATATTCTGAGGGTCCCAGGAATGGCGCCTCATTATGGGAGCACTTGATTAAGTTAAACTATCACAGTGCTCAGAGTTCCGACGCAGTGAGCTCGGCAGTGTGCACCAAGGCAGATAAGCTCCAGGGGGCTAAAAGCTTGGACTTGGTGCCTCATACAATTTCAGATAAATCAAAATATGCTTCAGGACAAGGGAAAAAGTTCTTGAGACCCATTATTTCCGTTTCTGCTGAGGAAAAGACCTGACTGAAGACACAAAGTAATGTTGCAATATGGCATGAAAGATTGTTCCTCTAAGATTTTATCTTTGGGTAAAATGGATGGTGCAGTAAAGCTTTCACGGCAAAGGATTTTGTCAGCTAAAAGCGAGAGTGAAAAACGCCAAATTACCGCAGTTTACCAGCATCCCCTGCTAGGGTCTCTTAGCACAAATAATCCCTGCGAATCCTTATCTGAGCTCATCTCAGAGAAGTGGCTTTTTCATAGGCCAGATTACAGTTCAATTTCTCAGAAGTGTTTTTTGCAGAGAAGATCTCAGTTTGAAACAAAATTGATGAAGTCCTCAAATGATACTAATAAAGAATAAAAATTATCACGGGCTCTTCTGTGTCAGTAATTTTTTTCTACTTGTCTTTATTTAGAACTCTTTTTTTTTTTTTTCGGTACGCGGGCCTCTCACTGTTGTGGCCTCTCCCGTTGCGGAGCACAGGCTCCGGAGGCGCAGGCTCAGCAGCCATGGCTCACGGGCCCAGCCGCTCCGCGGAATGTGGGATCTTCCCGGACCGGGGCACGAACCCATGTCCCCTGCATCGGCAGGCGGACTCTCAACCACTGCGCCACCAGGGAAGCCCTATTTAGAACTCTTTGATGAGATATTTTCTAATCAAGAAAATAATCAAGGTGATAATCAAGGTTATTGGGATTTTATTTATTTATTTTTTAGCCACTTAAAATATTTTAACGGATTATAGCTAAAAAGAACAATTTTTAAGTGATTCATATTTCTGTGGTACTAAAACTATAAAGTAAGTTTAAAGTACTAGAGTCCATGGATTTGATACCATATCTGTTTTAAACATTGTAATTGCCTCTCTTTTGTCAGTGATTTGTAAGATATTACCTATTAACTGTTGAGGATTACTTACTGGCTTCTTTCTCTCTTATCACCCAACTAAATCCAACCTATTATTTTAGGAATCCAAGTGGAAGAATGGGCTCAGCTGTGTGACTTTAAGAATGCTATGTTGGGCTTCCCTGGTGGCACAGTGGTCAAGAATCTGCCTGTCAATGCAGGGGACACGGGTTTAAGCCCTGGTCTGGGAAGATCCCACATGCCGTGGAGCAACTAAGCCCGTGAACCACAACTACTGAGCCCACGTGCCACAACTACTGAAGCCTGTGCGCCTAGAGCCTGGGATCTGCAACAAGAGAAGCCACCGCAATAAGAAGCCTGCGCACAACAACAAAGAGTAGCCCCTGCTCGCCGCATCTAGAGAAAGCCCCCGCGCAGCAACGAAGGCCCCATGCGGCCAAAAATTAATAAAATAAAATAAATTTATATATATATATATATATGAATGCTATGTCACTTCTCTTAGCTTTAGTTCCATCACTTATAAAATGGGAGAAATTATGGTGCTTACTTTTTAGGATTACTGAGAGGACTGCATGAGAAAATGCACATTGCAAGCCTTCAATAAATAGTAGTTACTGTCTGTCATGGTCTAACCCAGAGCCCACCTTTTTCCATGAAAACATCTCCTGATCCCTCCAGCCCACAACTTAAGCATACACTAATGCTTTGGGTTATTTGTCTTAAATCGTGCCCCACCTATTTCACAGATGGCAGTGTGGTCTCCCAGGCAGACAACCAGCCTTGAGGGTTATTCATTGCACTCCACCAGCGCCCTGCTCCACCGTAACCACGGGGTAGCTCGGCAAGCTCTCGCAGTCCAATGATTCCCAGACGGGTTCTGGGTGGGCCGCATCAGACTTTCCCGCAGGAGCCAAGTCTGACTTAGTCCACACAGAAATGTCGCGTGGTGGGGGTTGCTGTTTATTTGGCTTTGGTGGAATCACAACGCTCAGAACGGGTGCAGCCTCGCAGGTCTGAGAGAAGACAGGTGCACCGTGCTGGTCAGCTTGGGCATGAGCAGGGGGAGTGGTGTCCCGAGGGCCTCCCTCGCGAGGCAGAAATCTCGGGAGGGGCACTGGCCTTCCAGGCTGTGCAGTCGGGGTGCTCTTCAGGCACATCAGACCACGTGTGGGTCCTGGTCCCAGCTGCTGGCTCATCCGTGGGACTGGAAGGATCCAAGCCAGGGGCCGGGGGACGTCCCAGACCCGACCCCGCGATCAAGGGGAGGTGCAGACTGCTGAGGCCATTAATGCGGAGAGGTCGCCTCCTGGAGCCGGAGTCACAAACACCATGTCAGTACAGCCAGGGTGGGGGGACGGTCACAGACGGCGGGAGGAAGGTGCTGCGGAGCTCGGCGGGCGGCCCCAGGGTCAAGTCTCATGGTCCAGGGCCAGCAGAGTCATCCTATTCCACGTGACCTCTGCTGACGGGACGTTCGCGCCACCGCACAGCCACCTTGGCGCGCCACACGGTCAAGAAGCGGCTGTAGCAGGCTCCGCGCGTAGCCGCGACTGCCCGGGGTGCCCAGGCCCTTGCTGCCCCGCCCACACCGGGCCCGGCCTAGGCCCCGCCCCTCCAAGGCCCCGCCCCTCCAAGACTCCTCCCCGCCAGGACCCCGCCCCGCCAAGGCCCCGCCCCCGAAGCGGCCGGAGGGGGGGCGGGCCGCGCCCCCACGTGCTCCTACGTAGGGACGTCCCGCCGAGCGGGCAGAACGCTGGCAGAGCACCTACCTGCAGGCGACTGTCGTGGCGGGCGGCGGCAGGCATGGCTACGGCGGCGGCGGCGGCTCGTGGGGCTGGTGCAAGGGCGGTGGCGGCCCTGCGGAGCGGCTGCCGGACTGCGGCTCGGGGGCGGTCGCGCGCGGGCCCCGCACGGTCCTTATGCACAGCACCTGGGACCGCCCCGGACATGAAGCGCTACCTTTGGGAGCGCTACCGGGAGGCGAAGAGGAGCACGGCAGGTGAGTGAGGCTGCGCCCTCTCGCACCCTCGGTACGTGGGGAGGCCCCTCCCCGCCGGGCTGGGGCGCCAGGTCCCGTCCCATATGGCCATCGGGGAAGCCGGCACCCTCGGACCCGCGTGGGTCCGCTGCTGACCTCCAGAGCCCCCCCATCGTGACCCGCGGTTGTCCCCAACCACGGGCGACATCGCCTCTGCAGTGCGATTTCCGGGAAACGCGGAAAAATGCGCCTCCAGAAACTTTACAACTCTTGCCTTTCTCCTGTCGGGAAACCCGTTTTATAAATTCCTGGGATTTTTAGCCAGAAATCTGCATCGGAAGCGCTTTGGGCTCTCCTGGGGGTTCCACGGACATCACTTGGGAGACGGTCACCCCCAGGCACCGTTCGGTATTGTTATTAATAAACAACAATAATAGTAACCGCCGGAGTCCGGCAGGCGGCGGGTTACCGTGGATTCCGCTGCTGGGCAGGTGGCAGTGTCCGGAGGCTGATTTATTTTCTTTCTTTGTTTTAGGGGATGGGGTAGGATTTGCTGCTCTTGAAATTGGAGGGGTTCGGTTGGGAGTGTTCTGAGTTATCTACTAACCTCAGCGAGGAGGTGATTCCAGGAAGTGACCACTTAGTGGTCAGATGAACATAAAATGAGCTTGGTTTGATTGTTGGTTAGGGAAACAGGGAGGGACGCAAAGAGGACCCAGTAAATACTAATGTCAGACGCATAAATTGTCTCCCTGAATTCTTCCCCATACCTAGGAAGGAAGTGTCACATGCCCATCTTAGAGATGAGACAGGCCAAACTCAAGTTTAAGAAGCCTGGCCAAGGTCACACTTTGACCTCCGGTCTGTCTCAGCCCCTAACCCATTGTCCTGTTTCCTGCACTGCCTTGCAGTAGCAGCTGACCGTTTGGGAACTGGTGTAAAGGGCCAATGATAGTCCATTGGTGCTGCTTTTTTCAGGGAAGATTTAGAATAGAAATTTTTACACTGATATATTTTTTGGGGGGGTGGTGGTGGTAGAGGTGGCGTGGAGAGATAGGGAGAGAATATTTGGTGGAGAGAACATTTGGTAGAATCACATTTTACAGACAGGGTTTGCTGCTGCAGGTTGTGAGACTCTGGGAACATCACAGAGCTCCAGTTTACTCATCTGTAAAATGGGAATGGATGCTGGTGATACCAACATCATAGGGTTGTGACGAGGAATGAGCGAGTCCATCCATGAAAGGTGTTTAGAACAGTGCCTGGCAAAGGAGACAGCTGAAGGGTTGGGTGATAAAGATCAGCTTCAGGCCAGAGTTGGCCTTTGGCGTGGGATAATCCCAGGGGGATTTTGGAGTAGGACAGCTTGAGGGAGATTTTGAGATTTGTTAGCTCTGTGACTTTGGTGGCAAGTTACTCTTCTCTGACCTGAGTTTTCCAACTGTAATGTGGGGATAAAGTGAGGATTTTTAGTGTGGGCTCAGCATCCAGCAGATGCTCAGGAGACAGTAGCTATTGGGGCTGGTTATTAAATAAAGACACGCTTAGTAACGGTGGAGGTGAGTTAGTTAGCACTAGGGTCTAGGTCTCCTTTAGCTTAGGGCAGTGCCACATGTGGTGCTCAACAAGCCACCTAATCTCTTTAGTCTTCTTTCTGTAGAGTGAAGCCACTGAACTAAATAATATGTGAGCCTTTTCAAGTGTTACGGGTCTGAGAATCAGTATGCCGGGGTGCCCCATCCTGCCTCCACGCCCCCAGCACATGCCCACGTAGTCCCTGTTTCACCCCTGAGAACTCAGGGACTTTTTTCCTTCACCCTATCTGGGGCTGCACCACCCCTACCCTCCTTTAGCTGAAGTCTGTACACATGTCCAACTTGCATTCATTCACCAAGCATTTATTAAGCACGTACCAGTGGGCTTAAAAGCTGTTGATTCACAGATGGACGCATGTGAGAGGGAGGGGCCCACAGTGGCTGAGCGCCTGCCCAGGCCAAGCAAGAGGGACCCGAGTTGCACGGATGGGGAGGCTGGTAAACAGATAAGTGACAGTCCAGCTTGGGGAAGATAAATAACGGTCCCAGGGGATGCAGGAAATGCTTGACACTGTGTTCGTAGGAGTGAGGGCTCAGAAGTACTGATGCTCATAAAAAAATATACAGGTTTTTTTTCCAGTTTACTAGAGGACAAAAGAATTTTGTTTTCTCCCTTCCTGATTATTGCTTCCTGGTGTTTGATCTCTTGCCTTAAGCTAAACAAGCCCTTCAGGTGTCTTCTCTGTGAAGAGGTTCCCGGAATGAAGCCGGCTCAGGAAAGGGATGACTTTTACTCTTTGTTTTACCCTTTCTCTCCCACCCTCTTTTTTTTTTTTTTCAAAATTTTAAAAAGTTTTTTAAAATCAACTATTTTTTAGATCAGTTTTAGATTTACAGGAAAATTGCATGTTTCTCTAAACCCCATATGCAGTTTTTCCTCTCTCATGACTATGGGACTGTGATATTGAGATTTATAATCAGAAATACTGCAGAGAGCTCCTAAAACCCTTGGAATTTCCTAAGTACAGTACAGAGATGATAAAGGTGTCTTTTGTTATTTTAATTAGGTGACTTTCAGAATACCTCAGGGCAACCACAGGGTGGGGCCTGGATGCCAGGGAACCCAGCCCCGTGATTAGAGAGTTGGCACTTCGTGTCTTCTGACCCGCACCCCTCGGGGAGGGGAGAGGGGCTGGAGATTGAATCGATTGCCGATGGCCAATGATTTAATCTTTCCCTGTGTAATGAAGATTCCGTAAATGACTCCATAAAAACCCAGAAGGATGGGGTTCTGAGGGCTTCTGTGTTGGTGAACACGTGGAGATTGATTTGGGGAGAGTGATACACCCAGAGAGGGCATGGAAATTCCTTGCCCTGTCCGTGTACTGTGCCCTCTGCATCTCTTCCATCTGGCTCTTCCTGAGTTGTATCCTTTTATAGTAAACCAGTGATCTAGAAAGTAAAATGTTTCCCTGAGTTCTGTGAGCCACTCTAGTAAATTAATTGACCCCGTGGAGGGGGAAGTTGGGCAGGGGGCAGTCTTGTGGGACTGAGCCTGTAGACTGTAGGATCTGATGTTCTCCCCAGGAGGTGTCAGAAGTGAGTTGTGTTGTAGGGCACCCTGCTGTGTTGAAGAATTGGTGGCCTGGGGAAAAAACTCACATCGGAATTGGGTGCTGAACCCTTTAGGTACATTTGTCCCAGTTAACCAATATTGATACATTGTTGGTATGTATCAGTATTAACCAAAGTCCATATTTAATTCAGAATTCCTTAGTGTTTAACCTAGTGTCCTTTTCTACTCCAAGGTCCCATCCAGAATAGCACACTGCCTTTAGTTATCATGTCTCCTTGGGCTTCTCTTGGCTGTGACAGTGTCTTAGAGTTTCCCTATTTACCATGACCTTGACAGTTTTTTCCTTTTTTAAAACAATTCTTTTTTTAATTTTTAAATTTTATTTATTTTTGGCTGTGTTGGGTCTTTGTTGCTGCATGTGGGCTTTCTATAGTTGCGGCGAGCAGGGGCTACTCTTCGTTGCGTTGCGCAGGCTTCTCATCACGGTGGCTTCTCGTTGCAGAGCACAGGCTCTAGGTGCTCGGACTTCAGTAGTTGTGGCACGCAGGCTCAGTAGTTGTGGCTTGAAGGCTCTAGAACGCAGCCTCGGTAGTTGTGGTGCACGGGCTTAGTTGCTCTGCGGCATGTGGGATCTTCCTGGACCAGGGCCCAAACCCACGTCCCCTGCACTAGCAGGCAGATTCTCAACCACTGCACCACCAGGGAAGCCCACCTTGACAGTTTTGAGGCGTACTGCTCACATACTACATAGAATGTCCCTCACTTGGAATTTGTTCCTTTTTTTTTTTTAACTTGAGATTTCATGTAATATTTATGTATCTGGTGATGGCATCCAGGGATTCCTGATAGAAGCAAATGCAAACTCCTCCTGGATGAATAGACCTTCAACCTAGCCCCAAAGGGAGAGCAAAGAAATTGGTAGACCTGTGAGTAAATCTAAACATACATTGACAATATAGAAATCAGTCCGAAAGAGAGCAGGAGAGGAGGTAAAAGAAACTGAGAAGAAGCAGGAAATATCATGAAGGATGATGGTGGAAATAATTCCAAGTATATCAGTGATCATGATAAACTCAGATTAAAAGATCGTCAGATCAGATATAAGAAACACAGTCTAGCTAGGTGCTGTTTAAAGAGATACACCCCAAAACAAAGATGTAGAAAAGGTTGAAGTTAACAGAATGGGAGAAGGCGTCTCGGGCAAATGCAAACCAAAGAAAACCAGCAAGTATGAGTATCAGACAAGTACCGAAATGGCATTGAAAGGAAATAATGTTTACTATGGGAAGAGTTGCAAATTACAGTCCACGGACCAAATCTAGCCTCTAGTTAGGTTTTATCGGAACACAGCCACACTCATTCGTTTCCATGTATATATTTTTTGGCTCCTTTTGTGCTATGATGTCAGAGTTGAGCAGGTGCAACAGAGACTGTATGGCTCGCACAGCCCACAGTGTTTACTAACTGGGCCTTCATAGAGCATGTATGTTGACTTCTGAACTTAAGCTGTGCTTATATATCAGTCAACATGGATGAGTCTGACAAAAGCAAGACTGAGTGGAAAAAAGCAAGTTGCAGACATATGCTAATTATAAAATATTTGAAAACACAGAACATACTGTAGATCACTTGTAGGGATACACATGCATGTGGTCAAAGTCTAAAGAAATGCAGGAAGAATGTTATACACCCAAATCAGGGTAGTGGTTACCCCCGCCCCCTGCAGGAGGAGAATGCAGGTGACATCTTAGAGGGTTTAGTTCTTAAGCTGCATGGTGGGGCTGTGGGTGTTGTTTGTATTATTTTTATTCCTTTCTGTGTATCTTAGAACAGTAGCCTGACACATTCTTTAGAAATCTTTTGTTTAGGTGTGTGGTATTGATGATCCATGGCTATAGGAAAAAATAGCA